TTTTCGGGAGTTGAGCGAGGACGCGTCAGATGATGAAGTTAAAATATATGCACGAGCATGCATACTGCAGCTGATAGGAGGGTTGTTGATGCCGGATAAATCGCGCAACCAAGTTCACTGTATGTGGTTGCGACATCTTATCGACTTTCGTCTGGTCGGATCACTCAGTTGGGGCTCGGCAGTTTTGAGTTTCCTGTACATGGAGATGTGTCGAGCCACTGACTACAGACGTAATGCTATCGGCGGATGTCTCCTGCTGCTGCAGTCTTGGGTATGATATCGATTGCCCTTTTTATGTCCCGTTGTGAAGAATCCATTCGTATTTCCGCTATTCTTGAGGTAATTATAAAACTGATTTCGTATATTAATAATTTTATACAATATATAATAATTTTTTTCCTTGAATAGATGATCTACTGACAGGAAAAATCATCAGGAGCTACCTGATGATTTAGGAAAAAATTAGTGTGCTAATCGATCAGAAGGCTAGCACTCATGTATGAATTTTAATGTTTAAAAATTGATTTTAGATTATAGTTATATAATTAGATTATTATTTTGATAAAAATTATATATATTTGTTTTAGTTTGAATGGGTGTCATATTCTAATGATGATGTGAGGACAGTGATCCCACCTGAGTTGAGGGGCCCATCAGATGTTTGGATGGCGATGATCCCTTTGATCTGTTATGCGACAGTCGAGTGGCACTCCACTGATCGTGTGCTCTGGCAATTTGGTTGTTTTCAACCAATTCCGGAAGCATCTCGCAATATAGACGAGTTGCATATCATAGATAGACGTGGCAAGACCGATACAGATTGACTGGTGAGGCATCATGAGTTGGTCGTGTTGTGGGAGGATCGACATCGTCGTCTTCCCCGTAGAGAGCCCATTTATGTTGATGACTTGACGGTTGATGATGATTATTATGAGTGGTTTAACAAAAACGGGAAACTATTTCTGCTTCCCGAGGATGCACGAGGGCGGACCTTTCCACGACGTCTAAAGAGACGTTCACCGACACAGCACCATCGTCCACTGACTCGTGGACGGAGAGCAGGTGCTTCCGGTTCATCCTCAGCTGCACCAGCACAACATGTGTGAGAATCGTTGTATACTGTCAGTTCTCATATGTTGTTTTTCATCTTCCTCTTCGATACGCGAACCATTCAATTGCATCCGTTTTCGCATCGGGCACAGTAGCATACATATTTTTCTGTCATGGAACGGTCGACTCTCGATTGAACAGAATTATGGATATTGTAATTTTTTATAACCATCATCGCTTATTCTTTGCTTGAAAATTTGCTTGAAAACTCCATGCCTAAATATAACTCACCATTATTTATTGATGAGTAATATTCATAGTCATCGAGATAAGGCATATCCGCAAATTTTGGCCTATACATTGCACCATAATCAGCTTCATACATATGTGCTAGAGGGTAGTTTGTGTCATACTTGCTGGACACATCATCATCATCATCGGAGTTGAATTGCGGTGATTATGGGTGAATGAATAGTCCAGTCTCAGCACCATCCACACCAGGCTCACGAAGCAGTTCTTCTGGTGGAGATGATGGTTCCTCCATACTCTCCACATTTAGGTCGAAGAACCTACTACTTGCACGCCTTCCCCTTGAATTGGAAGACATATCGACATTCAGATCGAAAAAGCTCACAGTCGAATACCTCCCCCTGGAGCTTGAAGCCATCGTGTCAAATAGAAACTGCACAGATTGTTGCGTCGATGGCATCTCCATATTAAAGTCAAAGGGATTTGCAGATGAATGCCTTCCCCTTGAACTGGACGCGATGTTACCTTTCGAATTGTTCATCGACCCACCTTGATACATATCGTAAGGAGTTGCGGATTAATGTCTCCCCATTATGGCATTAAAATCAGTACACATTACTGTCGTTGGGTTGTCAACTTGATCAACTTGTTCAGCCAGCCCATAGTGGGAGCTTAATGATTGACCCCGAACAGCACGCACTTGAATAAAATTTGCATACATCTCAATATCGGCGTCTGAATAATTACTTTGAGCTTCAACCATCATTTCAACATCATCATTGTTCAAAAGTTCGAACGCTGTATAAGTTAATGGCAACGATGATGCTGGAAATCTGTACTGCAACGACGACATTCTTCTACTACTTCCAACATGAATCTTCCTCGAAATCTTCGTTATTAGCTCCTTAAGAGTTATGTTTCTCTTCAATGATATTTTAACACGTTCATTTGATACGAAAACAACGTCGGTTTCATCTTCTCGAATCTCACCATCATAATAAACAATAGCTGAAAGTCGCACCATTCTTTGAGTTTAAAAGTGTGGCAATATTATATCTGCAAAAAATACAACTAAAATAAAGCTGATTAAATAAAAAATATATGAACGAAAGTATAACACAATAATTTTTTACACATAAAAAATAATAATTTAAATAATATAATTTTATATTATTAACTGTACCGCAAAACTATTTCGACGTATACTCCCGCTTTCTAATTTTACAAACACAAAAATTAATTGACAACAATTAGTATAATATTTTTCAAATAATCATAATAAACAATAAGTATAATAAAAAAATTTATCACAAATTACCTTATAACGAAAAATCGCACGAATTTCTGAATTAAATATGAGAAGATTGTCGGATTATTGTATTAATTTTTTCCTAATCGAAAGAAGATGTGAGGAGTTACCGGGGGGAAAGGGTATTTATAGCCGAGAAAAGCTACAAGACGTGATACTTGCACCGCGCCTTACATAATTATATCAGATAAAGCTAAGACGCGACCCCTGTTCCGCGCCTAATATAATTGTGTTAAAGGTAAGGCGCGATCCCTGCCCTGCGCTATACTCCTAGGTGGCTTAAGGAGCGCTCCAAGGACCGCGCTTTACACACGTGTATACCATGTCAGCATAAGGCGCGTTTCGGGGGGCCTTACCCCACGTGGCACCAAATCAACGTAAAACGCACTGCAGGGGGCGCGCCTTTCTGTAAAGGGTGTTAGATCGAGAAATATAGTCTAATCGGTGCCTGATCGAGAAATATATTGTTCAACGGTTATATATCGGGAAAATCGCCCTTTTCAGACCTCATTTTTATAGCATTTCCGTTCTTTCTCCTTCAGTTGTTTTTGGTTGATTGCTGTGTGAGAGAGAGAGAATTGATGAGTGAGTCTTTCTTACCATTTCATCCTCTAAAATTCAAGAGGTAAGCCTGAATCTTCATATATGATAATGAGAATTTTAAGAGTTAAATGAAGATTTTTCAAATTTTGTAGTTAAGATAGCATATTAGGGGTGTTCGTATTTAGGTACCCGCTTTTATGGATATCTTATATATCAAATACGTAAGATTTGTTGGTACAAAAAATGCGATTCGTGTCTCGACCCGTAATAATTGATTATCCATAAGTTGAGTACCCATAAAACATGAATACTTACTTATCCAAGCTATTGAGTACCCATAAAAGATACGAATTTTTGAGTGATAAAAGATCATAAAATCTAGACAGCAAAATTCTCATAAATCTGTTCTAGCAATGACTTTGAAAAATCACCAAAAATCTCATAAGAAAAATTAACAAGTGAGCTTTGTATACCTATAATGGGATGGAAGTCTAGTTTCGTTTAAAACTATATTTGATTTTGAGTTGTGTATTAAAAGTTATTAAATTTTAATTGAGTAAAGATAAGAAGACAATGTAATAAACTCTCTAAAAACAAAATAACAATTATTTAAAAAAATTACCATAAATTGTAAGAGTTAAACTAGAAACTATAATTTATATGATTTGAAAGTTTATTATAGAACAAACAAAATATGATTTTAAACTATATATTATTAATTACACATTTTTCTTTGAAGGTAGTGTAAATTACCATATTTTTAATAGTCACGTTTTATTGTTTATTAATGGTGAAAATCATTTTTAAAAGAATTGGGCTTGATCGTTGATTTTGGTTGTATATCATTGTAATTATTTCTTGTTGTGTGGTTTGTGTGAATGGATCTGGATACCTATATGAGCACTTCAATGTTGATGGCGAGATATCGATTGTACATTCCTAATGCTATGTGACTCTAAGCCTCACCCGATATTGAATGTATGTATTTTATGCTTTGTGATCCCAAGTCTCATTCAAAAGTGAATGTATGTTTCTGATGCTATGTACCTAAACCTCATTCAGGTTGTACTTGACATTGTGTGATTACTGTTATATGATTGATAGCGTATTTTTTGGCATTGTACTCATGCCCTTTATATATCCGTACTCACATATCATGTTTATATTTATGATGTGTGTATAGTAAAGTAGAAATATACTACTAAGCTTATAAAGTCTAGCGTTCGGGTGTTTCCGTTCATAGGTGAGTTGATTAGATAGTGCCTCGAGGAGCTTCATCGGAGAAGGATTCTAGCATCCGAGTCATTGCAGATTATGACATTATCAATACTTTTCTGCTCTTTATTTATAAAAAAAAAACATGAAACAAGATAAAATTCCAAACTTATCTGCTCAATATATGCCATATTGTTGGCACGGTCACCGTGGAATAGTCTCCATGCATTTGCAGTTCAGAAGATGTTGGCTGGGAAACACTTACTTAAGGCACCCACGTTTCTTATAGTGGCATCCTTTGTTGTGCTTTTCCAATATTAAAACTTCACCACTAATCTATTTCAAACTAATCCATATGAGAATGCCAATGACAGAAAGCCCTATCAACATCAAAATCCATTCATATTATACTTTGAAAAGAATTTACTGTGGTGCTTAATTCAGAACTTATGTCAGTTTTTTCTTTCTCTCTTCATTCAATTTATTTACCTTTTACAACAGGGAACAAACTACAGTGAATTTCATTGCAAAAAACTAAATTCATATACATCATACATACTGCAACATTGAACTTCAAATTCGATACTTACAAGAAAATAAGAGAGAATTTTTTTCTAAGATGAAAGAGAATCTTGAATGCACAATGAAACCGGAAAAAAAAAGCCCCCCCCCAACAAAAAAAAATTCCATATGCTTCATTAATAAGACAAAAAATTGAATTCATAAGGCAACCGTGTGCTTCAACCTTGATGTTTGGCTGTGTTGGAAGATGCAAACGGTGGCACTCGGGGTGGTGGAGCTAACAAAAGTTTTCGACCAGCTTCCGTAACCATCTCGTCACCTTCAAAACAAGTATTTGAAACCGTCCTACCATACATCATCGTAGTAGAGCCTAAGATGTCATCTCTGAATCCACATGCTTTGAAGAAGAACCTGAAATAAGCTTATAAACACCATGCTCTTGAAAAAGAATCAACACGAATCATTTATCAATGACCCAACCTTTCCCTTGATTCTCTCAGGTTTGCACATAATTTGTTTGCAACAAATCCATCCGATGATGTTCGTTCAATGAATGAAAGAAGCACCTATCTAATCAAATTTTAAGCCCTGCTATATTTTAATTCGTTCTGGTTTAGGGCTGGAGTGAAGGTGGCAGAAGAGAGCTACTGAGCCAGATAACATAAAAAGAAGACAGTAAGCTGCAGCAAATTCAGGAGAAAAAATAATTCCCCATAAGCTGTAGGCTGATTGTAATACACTTGGCTGGCCTTTGTTAGAATGACATTGCAACATGTTTCCAAGCAAGAAAAGAGAGGCTGCCTAGTGGTAAAACCATTAAAACCAGGGTACATGAAACAGATGCTTAAAGAGAACACATAGGTTATGAAATTTTAGCATAATGACAAGATTACCTTTCCTTTGTGGAACAAATAGCAGCTATGTCATAAATGTCTCTAGTTGTGAGCATCCTAGAAGCAAAATTAGGGTAAAAAATGTTAAACTCGTACATATAACTTTAGTAACTACCAGTATACATTTCATTTCAAAAACTGAAGGCTAAGAATAAGGATATAACAAGATAATGTAATCTCCATCGTGCAGTTCCTGGGGCAATTATTTTGACTTTGACAGCTAAAATTGAAATCATCAAACAAATAGAATTTTCCTGCTATTCAACTATAACAACCATGACTCAGAAGCAGGCAAACGGGTGACATGATACCATTTCTAGATCTGAGTATGGATGCATGCACTGGCTCTTGTTTAAAGGAAAACAAGATTACAGTTGCATGCCTACATTGAGCATGCATGCATGTTTGGGGCAGATTTGATATGCAACTACTTAATCCTGTTAAAAAATTCAAAATTAGTAGAAACATTAGAGTAACAAACCTTACAATCCTTTTAACTATTATCGTCCCAATTTCCATGCCCTGTAAAGGAGGAGCGACCTGAAATGCACTAAAGCACGATTATAGGAATATGAACGGTACCCAAGTATCAAATTAGAATTAGAGGTGTCTCAAGAAATCACACTGATAAAAAACTGAGGGTTTTATAATCCAAAAGCCTTATTACAGTCAATAACTTAGCCCTTTACCTTAAAAAAATACAAACCAAGAGTTGAAAACTTGATATTGATATCCACAAGTAAGGTTATCTGATATTTTTTTATAACCATTGCATTCTTCTACAAAGGGGAAAAAGGGCCCAAACAGATTGGTTATTAAAGGATGTTGGGATGCTAACCCCATAATTACCAAAGGATAGAAAGACAAGTACCATGACATCGTAGATGGATGCAGTCAATCCTAGATCAGAAACAGCACGGCCAAAGCCAATAAGCCGGCCGTTCGAAGGGTTGACGGGCGTCACACTCTCCATCAAATCTCCAACAAAGTCCTTTTTCATTTGCTTCTGCTGTTCTTTGTTTTGGATTTGCTTGGTGATGCTAGTCACCTTGACATGCTGAGGTTTGCAGAAGACTGAAACAATCACACAACTGTGGGAGAGAGCAATCCGGAGCTTGTCCAAGTTCAAGGCTTCTTCAACTATGCCGGTGTTTAGGTCCACCTTAGGGAACCGGTGGCAGGAGTGGTTGCAACTAGTGTACAGCTCACTAAGCTCTTGAAGATTAATGTGGTATGGGTCCGTTGATATGTAAATTGGCATCATCAATGGTGGTGGTGTTGAATTTAAGCTTCCAAACTCCCTTGAACTTGGGTTTGGGTTAGGGATCTTTCTTCTACTGTTTCTGCGAATCCATCGCAGTTCCATGGATTTGAATGGGAAAGCAGCAGCAGCAGCAGCAGCACCACCACCACCCCGTATCATCATTATCTGTGAAGAAGTGATGCTAGAAATAGCAGCATCCACCATCTCTTGTGTAGTGTTGGATGACCTTACTCTTCGTCTACGCATATACATATAAATGGAACAAGTTAAAAGAGTATGGGCGGCTGTCTTAGTCTTCGCCAATAATTTACCACAACTAACATTTATCAATTTGAATGAACAACAATGGAAGCTAAGAGAGAGTGGTCGTAGGTAGTACCTGGCAAAAGCAATGACTAATGCACCGCAAACCCGGCCAATTTGAACGGCAGAAATGAGAACGCCTCCTTCGGCACCAAGAACCAGCAATAATTACATGTAACTGCTTATCTCCTTTACAATACAATCATAAGACCACAACTATTAGCGGGGGCAATAAAAATAGATAGAATGGAAAGCAACAAAAAAAAGGGACCTGCCTGAGAAGAGGTAAAGTTGAGGTACCAAAGGCGACAGGGTCCGGAGTGCAGCAGCTGCAACCAGATCACACCCTTTCTGCACCCGAATTCTAGTGAATCAGATTGAACTTCGGGAAGCAGCTGCCCACGGCATCGACAGTGAGAGCATAATCGGGGCCTGGAATGAAAGAGGAGATAGAGAGGCTTCTCTTGGTACTGACCCGGTATCTTAAGGTAAACGGCTTAGTTGAAGCTGGTGGCTTCACTTTGATTCTCGCTGCACCGCAATTGGAGTCCAATTCAGAGAAGGAAAGCATAACTGGGCTTCCATGTTTGTTTAATTGTTTCTTCTCTTCTCCTACAAAAGTTTCCTTTACTTGTGGCTTTCGGTCCACAATGCAGAGATTTGGATAATACTCAATTGAGTTATGACATGTGAACTATTTATTTAGGTCACAAATTTCATTTCCACTGCTCAATTTTTTTTATTAATCTAAGATAATTATAAAATAATATTTATTTTAAAAAAATAGTATTTAATAATTAAAGTTCAAATACACTTGTAATCTCTAATGTTCGTACATAAAACCTCTAAAGATAACAATCATCATTTTTTTTAATAAGAAAGATAAAAGACAAGTTATATAGCAGTGTTTTAGTTCACTGCACAGCAAGCATCTTTCAAGAAGACTTTCCTAATCTCCTCCGGAATTGTTTGAAAGAAATGTGTCCAAGCCATCCAACTACAGCATCTGCAACTCTATTGTTCTCCCGTGGTGCAAAGACAATTTCCAATTTCCAAATCCTAACAAGAAGCTGTTGAATGTGTGGAAACATCGAGGAGCTTGAACTTCCTCTCCTATCGGAGCCAAAACCAATAGCTGATAAAGCTTCCCTACTATCCGTTTCGACCACGATCGAGCGGAAACCCAAACTCCAAGCCAATGATAAACCTTCGAATATGCCCCAAAGCTCTGCATCAAGCACTGAACAAACACCAATGGCTTTGGCAAAACCCATGATCCAACCACCCATATGGTCCCTTAGAATACCTCCGCACTCCGCTAAGCTCGATAACAATCATCATTTTAATCAGTAAATTTACTTGTTCGTGTCCTCATTCAGTTGTTAAACCATCATTAATGACATTTATGTCAATCATTTATTATAAAAGGAAAGTTTCTGAAATAATGCAGTAGAAAAAAAAAACAATTTAAATTAGGTAATGAAGATTTTATTTTTCTAAAGTAAAGTGCTTGTTATAATGACATTAGAAAGACGTGAGAAACATTTGATGTCTTTAGAAAAATAATCGGACGAGCGATGACTTTTAGATCAAACTATATACAACATTGGAGAAGACATTGTCATCTATGCATCTTTCACCAAAGATACCATGCATTTCCAACATCTTCCGAAAGGTACCAAGTGCTCCATGCTGCCTCCACGTAACACTATAACAAATATACTATTTGAGAAAATAAAATCCCTAACATCATGTTTGAATCACTTTCTCCTGTTGCATTATCTTTCAAAATTATCTATCATAAATGGAGGAAATATCAAATATCAAAGAAAAGAGTTGATCAATCCTAGGATTATATACTAAGATTTCAAAAAATTTCACCACCACAATTAGAAGTAAAAATGAATCGGATTCAAACAAATAAGGTTGCGATTGTGTTTATATATATACATATATTATTGTGTTTATGCTTAGTTCGTATTCGTTTAAATTTTTAATTTCTTGTTTATGTTCTTTTAATTATTTTTGAAGGTGTTCGTGTTCGATTCATTTAATGATCACGAACATATTTATTTAACATTTGTGAACATATTTATTTATATGTTAAAAATGTTAACTAAACAAACAAACAAAAATAAATAATACAAACCAACTAATGGTGAAATTATGCCACTAGTCCTTAAGCTTCACAATTTAAACTCTAAAGTTCACACTATTTTGATTTAGTCTATACATTCACCAATATTTAAAATGTAAAAAATAAAAAGAAACGATTCGGATAAACGGGATTATAAACGAGTCGATAAACAAGCTTACAAAGATTTTATTTGGACCATAAAAGAACCGAATACACATTCGTTTGTGTCCATCCGTTTATTAAATAAACATACAATTTTTATCCATATTCGTTTATTAACTTAACAAAATGAATGTTGTATTATCAATTTATTAAATACTCTATTCATTTACACCCCTAACTACACTAAACTCTTTTTACGAGTGACACCTTAATATTAAATACATAATTTTAAATATATAAAATTAGTGGTAAATTGTATTAAATGGTCTTTGAACTTTTAGGATACTTACAATTTATTCAGCAAACCTTAAAATTTGTAATATAATCGTTAAACTTTTATTTTGTTATTAGTATGGCCGTTATCATCAGTTGACATGAAATATTAAAGTCTTATTCCCCTCAAAATCTAAGCTTCCAAACCTTGTTTTCTTTGAAATTAATTGTCGACATCACTTCCTTCTTTCATCGTTGCTTGAAATCTCATCAAACTTTTTCTTTTTTTTCTTTTAGTTTAAATTTCTGAAAAAAGTTAATTTTTTTTAAATCTCAATCGAAACTAAAAGCTAAAACTTTCTAATCCATCATTATCAACTATTAGATCAATTTGAAACTGAACTATATTAATTTTTTGACTTAACAAAGTCTTCCCAACGTTGGGATTGATTGATGAACATTCTATTCGTAAAATTTTGCCAAACCGAGATGAAAGTTTTCTTTTTCTCATTTTTTACTTGATTTTTTTCTTATTTATTATTTATTGTTATTGATGGTTGTGGTTGTGAAGATAATCAAATGTGATTGGTGAGGATGACTCGGGTTTTAATTGGTTTGGTTTAAATTGTGATCGAGTTTCAATTATGTTTGTGTCTTGGATGAAATGATTGTGATGAATGGTTCGGTGGTCGTTGGAAGATGGTGAAATTATTGAGTATGATGGGTGTTACGTTTAGTTGCAGTAATGTTTAGAAGATATAGAGGTGATGACACATGTAATTTGGAAGAAGATAAATTCTCAAAACATACATTTTTATAAGAGAATAAAACCTTAATGCACACAAGAGGTTTTTTAACACGAAAATGATTATAATAATAACATATTAAATCTCTAAAAAAAATATTATATTATATTCATTCAACTTACTTAACTCGTAGAACTCAATTTATTTTTAATTTTAAAAAAATAAATAATTTATCTTAAATATTAGGGTAAAATACATGTTTAGTATCCTAACTATCACTTTTGTTCTGTTTAAGTCACTTCAATTACTTTTTCAAATCATAGTTAATGTTATATTTTAATTCATTTTGGTAATCTATCGTAAAAAATGACAATTGATGTGTCATTTATGTAATTTTTTTCAATGATGATATGGTATTATCTTATGATAACACATCATCACCATAATTAATTTTTTAATGTTGGGTGACCTAAAGGAAACCAAAATAAAATGTTAGGTAAAATTTTGAAATAAAAATAGTTAAATGAGCAAAACGAAATCAAAATAATAGTTGATGTACTAAAGTGTAGTCTACCCTAAATATTAAGTAATATAAATAATCATTTCGATTCACTCAGTTTACTTTTTTTAAGTAAATGAAGAAAATAAAATTTAGAAACAGTCACAGATACACTGACATATGACTATAAATACTAATATTTATTTAATTTCTTACAAATTATTATTTTATAATTAAAAATTATTTTTTTCTAGAGATTATGTTTTAAATCACCAGACTGTAAATATGATTAATCATATTATCAAATGATTAAAAATATTTAAAATATATATAATTTTTGAAAATATTTAAAACGTTGTAATCAATTTTATCTTAATAAAATATATTTATTTAATTCCAAAATTTGAAAAGTAGATCGGACGGCGAAGCATTCTCACTGGAATCTGAGACACAGACAATACAAAGTCTCAAGTCTGGGCCAAGAAAAGCGAAGAAGGCTTCTTCTTACTTGTTACCAGTACTATCCCTTTTCCTTTCTTTAAAGGATATCAAATCTTCTGTTGCTGCTGGATGAGGGAGCTTTAGTTAGACAACCGCAGCCCTAGAATTGGGTGGGAGCCGAAATCCAGCGGACTTAGGGCTTTGTTTTAGGAGCTAAAGATATGGATGGTGGGCGGTGGATTGCGGTCAGTCCAAGGTGCAGTGGACGGAGATACTTGCATCCAAGAAAAGAGGGAGAGCCGATTCCTTCGTTAACAGTGTCAAGAAACTTCAACGAAGAGAAATCTGCTCTAAGCCACACCGTGCTTTCTCCATCACCGACGTCCAGGAGCGCTTCCGTAACATCCGATTGCAGGTTCTTTTCACTTACTTGCCCTAACTTTTAATTCTTTTATCATTGCGCTAATTTCCTTCGGCGTTTAAAGTTTTATTCTTTATTCTTCCTTTCCTCTGGTTTTTGTTGTTCAAATTGCTCGAGAAATCTTCTTTATTATGGCATACAAATTCAGTTGTCTTTACTCGCCCAAACCTTAGTTTAACGTTTCGTCCTTTCTTTTCGAAATTGCGAAAGAAATTTGAACATTTTAGCCCTAGCTGCGAGTTGCGGAAGAACGAGAGAAACTCTTAGCCTTGCATCTTAATGTTAAAATTGGTTTGACACATACTACCCGTTTAATAGTTTAAACTCCAAGTTCTGCTTTGGTTTATAATAAACAACTGAAATGGCTGGAGCGCATACAATTTTCAATTTTATCTTTACGAGGTACTGGTGCAAGCCTCACATACTTCCGTTGTTGTTCAAACTTTGCTTTTTTTTTTGGTTTAAGTCTTTAATATTATTAACTACAAAAGAAAAACATTTGAAACGGTGGGACTTCTGTGTCATCCTGATGTTGAATGAAAAGTTCCGTGAATGATAGTTAATAAAGCTTTATTGAGAAATGAGTAAGAAATGTAGGAGAATGCATTGGCTATATTAAATTTTAGATGCTTTATTTGCATTTGATGGTATTCGGTAAACATGTTATATTCCTGCTATTTCAATCAGTTCACCTTTGGTTGAATAGTATATATGTATGAGTAGGAGATACAGAAGGAAAACTCTTCTTCTCATTTAGTTGGAAGTCTATCAGCTAAAACATTAGTTTTGAACGTCAATGGGTGATCTGTTACTTGTCTAGCCTCTGTGTATTACTGTTCTTATGGGCTGCTTAATAGTTTGGTGATATGTTGTGTAATATGCAGGAGGAATATGATACTCATTATCCAAAAGGACATTGTTCAATGGTATTACCGTGTCTGAGGAAGAGATCAAAGATTATAGAGATCGTTGCTGCACGAGACATTGTTTTGCTCTTACCCAGTCTGGTGTATGTGCAGCATTTAGTCGAGGTGGGAACCTTGTTTTCACACTTCTAAGCTTATTTTGGATGGGCTTTTCTATTTCTGTTGTGTCAAAAATTAGAATAGGAATCTTGATATTTTATTGTTTATTGGGTGCAGAGACTAATCGAAGAATATGCTTTCTAAATGTCACTGCCGATGAAGTTATACGAAGCTGTTTTATAATAAAAATAATGACTCACTTATCACAGTCTCAGTTTACGCTTCTGACAATTTCAGCTCCTTGAAATGCAGAAGCACAAGGATCGAGTATGTGAGTTTTTACAACCTCTATACAACCCTTAGCTTATCCGAACTGGAGCCTAGAATAGAAAATAGTGAAAAAATCAAATAAAGAAGATGAAATACTGCATCTAGGGTTTCAAATCACCGTCACGGTCGCGTTTCGGTCATTTCGGGTTTACCGTGATTGTGGCCGTCGCGGGAGCTATTGCGGCCGTCGGGCTCTGTTGCGGGTGTAGCGGGTAACTCGGATGGCGGCGAAACCGCTATTTCGCGGATGAAATCACGTTCGGACCGTGATTTGAAACCTGACTGCATCTCTACATTGTAATTTGCAATTTTCTTTTCTTTTCTTTCTGAAACAATTCGGTTTTATGGGCAGATACATAAGAGAGGTCAACTGATGCTGGTTTTGCACTTTTTGAATCTGAGTCACTGAAGTGCCTGGGTTTGTCGAGTTTGATGTTAAGGGAAGGTACTCATATCTGCACAGGATAGGTAAGTGTACTCAGCCTAGGAATGTACCTTTGTGCTAAACTATAATGTTGGATCTGTAACTAAATCCATGAGTCTGATGTTTTTCCCCCTTTTACTCAGCATACAAGGTATTTGACCTAAAAATTATACGATGTTATACACCATATCGGATAAAAATGTTCAGGAGATTAAGATAAGGTAATGCTTCTTTCATGATGGTAATTTCTCGCTACAAAAATAAAATTTCATTCAACGCTGATTTTTTTATCTGTTCTGATAGATAGCAAAATTGATACCTAATGAGGTTAAAACAAAACATTGATTGTAAAACTATCTGTTTTATTATCATGAAGAATTACAGTATTGTAATGGTATACAAGTACCGTTTAGTCCAGACAAGTTTTCATCTTCTCATGGAAGCAATGTACTAATTAACAATCAAATGGTAGCTTGTTTGCTTGGAGTCACTGTTATGCAATTGACTTTGTTCATCATATCTTTCTTGACAGTCCTGGGATCATGTTATTGATTTTCACTAAAGTTGGTGGCCATGTTCCTCTCAAGATTCTCTCAATTGAGGATGGTACAGTTCTCAAATCTTTTAGCCATCTCTTCACCGGAATAAGAAGGTGGATTTTATCGAACAATTCAATGAAAAGCTTCTTGTGAAGGGAAAATGAAAACCTCCAAATTCTTGATGCAAGTATCTTTGTCAATATAGTGCAATCTTATTCAATGTTAAAGCTTAAAAAAATCTAAATATTATTGTGCAGGTTCGCAATTCAGAGCTAACAGAAGTTAGCAAAATGAATTTATGACTCCATCAGCATTATATTCTGTATGAGAACAGTTATTCCTAACATTTAGAAACCGGACAGTGGCTGTCTGGAACTTCCGTGGAGAACTTGTAACTTCATTTGAGGATCACCTTCTGTGGCATCCTGACTGCAATACTAATAATATATATCACAAGTGATCAGGTTATCATCTCTTACTGCAAAGCTGATTCTGATGATCCATTGTCTGAAGGAAATGGTTGTTTTTCATTCTTTGAACTTTTTATTTTCTGTTAAATACAACAGTATGACCAGTTTAAATGCTTAGCTCGCTTATGAAGTTATATTCTTTTTTCCTCTTATCTTATTTTATTCTGGTAATGTATTTCATATTTTCATCTTACATGAAACTTCATTCCTCCTTTAGATAACTGTATCTCTCATTAGGTCTACTTCTCGTTTTTGGTTTGGCAGGGTCCATCAATATCAGCAACATATCGACTGGGAAGTGCCTTGCTAAAATAAGAGCAAGTAATAGTTCCCCAGTGGAAAAGCAATGTAGCTGTTGCAATGTTAGTTATGGTAGCAGGTCGAACATGAACGGCCGTTCATCCAAGATTAGAAGCACGGTGGCAGAAGCTTGGAAGATATCACCGCTCTTTTATGACGAAGAGCACATGAGATTTACACAGGGAACATGTATGGTCTAGTTCATGTGTGGTCCAACTGATGGGTTTGATTTTGATTAGTAAATTTATATTTTGACTTTGGTGGAAAGTTGATTCTGTGAATGAGAATTGCAAGTCTCATGAAATTGTACCATTATTACTTGGTCTGATCGTACCAATTCATTGGGCTCTTGTTTCAGAGTACTGGTCCATTGTGGGAGTGTAAATTGCTGTTTTTGTAGTCACATCTCACTTATGCTACTTCTTGCTACCCTCTGACATAGTGCATCGGATAGTTATTTATCGGATTAATTGAAGCGATTCTTTATCGCAATGAAGCAAGCAATCTGAAATGTAATTATTCAGTTGCCCTGGAGAATGACACGAATAACTATAACATTGGTGCTTGATACATTTATTAATGATTATAACGAACTATTGTGAATGTTTCTTAATAAAAAAATATCCGGTATTCTAATCAAATGTGTATAATTATTGTAATCAAATAACAATTGTCTGTCATTCTTAAAATTTGAAAAAATCAGAAATTTCAATAATTATTTTTCTTTGATATTTAACTTTTTTATTGTCGGTTTTAATAAAACAAGTTTGAATTGTTACTTTTGCAGAGCTTGAAGACTTGAGTTGAATGAAAGTATATCTGCATAATTTATCAAGTTTGATTTGACACTTAATTTATTTCGTTTAATGTTTTAAAAGATTTATAAAATTGTTTAAGTTTTGATTCGGTGTCTAAGTCCCCAATAAATAAAGATGTTTAATCACCTTTAATGTTCTACATGTTCATATTTTTAGACATGAAATGAAACTAAATTGAGAAAACGAGGGACAAACAACGTAACTTTGTTTACTTTTTAGACCACAAAGAAGTGGTTCTTGAATCTTCAAAACTGACTCGTAGTACCTTTCATTATGTACCATACAATACAATTTCACATATTCATATCAATGATTTACTCTGTAATTACTTACAATACAGCATGCTTGGCTTTCGTTTAACATTCTTCTGTCTTGTTCTGTCCAGCTCACTCCCAACTGTCTACAAAAGTAGATCAGACTGAGGCTGCGGTGTTTGGTTCAATCAACTTGCTTGCTGGTGCTTTCTCTTGTCTTTCTACATAACCAGAGGGAAACCATCCAGCCTTGCCCTTGCATTCTCCTTCCGACCATCCATTGGCACCCACCTTCATTGTTACAACCAAACTTATGATTATCATCACCCAACAGCCTACCTACCTAGCACTGCAGTTCGAAAAATACGTACCTGGCGAACCACGACATAGTCGCCAACTGCTAAGTTTAGCTCCCCATCTGCTTCAGCATCAAATGGGTGTACAACCTGTTAAAAAACAATCCGCACCTCAACCATCGGTAACAGACGAAGAATAATGGAGTAAACTGAATTTCTATACATAATTCAGAGATCAAATTCCCAAATTTAATTTAGTTACCAAGGGGCCGAAAGAGAAAAAAGTGTTCAAAAGCTAAACCTTTGCTATGAAATATCCATCGCTTTGTTGTTTCCCTGAGCGTCAGATCCATTCGAACCAAAGTTATCATGTGGAATGGAGACATTCAGCTCTCTCTCTGATGTCACCGAGTTCAATGACTCATTTCTGCTCTTCTAGGGTTATCTATGCAGCAGTAAACTTCGATCAAAACCTTTTGGATATGTAATAAATAAGAGTAAAAGCAGTTTGGAACCCATAAAATTCCATGTACTTGGATGGTGCCTAAACAAGTCATGAGAACAATAACAGAGCCAAGGGAAATTAAGTACAAACCTCAGCATATAGCTTCTCTAAAATAGCAAGAACATGTTGATGATAGGATTTTTCGGCATCAACCTGCAAATGAGTCAGGCGAGGACCAACGACCTGAGCACTACAGGTAGGGGTAATGAGCATTGAAATCAAATTAACTCTAAAGTCAATAATATATTTTCTAATTCCATATTACACACACACATATATATGCCCCGGTTAGGACTTCTTTGTACCGAGTACACGTCAAACAAGCAACTATAGTTGTCAAACTAAACTTACAACTACCGATGTACACACATGGAATCCTCAAGAAAATATCATTGTTATAGAATAAATAACAGTGGCAAAAACATCCTTCAGTTGGAAATCAAATTATGTATCTGTAAAGAGAGCACTTCTGAGTACCAGAAAAACATTTGTTTTCTGAACCACAGGAAAAAAAGAGAGAGCTATTATGGCATTGCATAAAAAAATTAAATCAAAATTAGCAATACCACTGAACGGAGCACTTGGAAAGTAATCTTTTGCTGTTGATCCTCAGCTGACAAACATGGCCTCAGTTGCTTCTCTTCCTAGTACCACCATTGAGGATTTAAGTTCAGTCAATCTTTCGGCATGTTTAAGCTTCATGTAGCTTTCGGTAGATATATCAGATTCCTTGGTCTTTGATTTACGTCTCAAACATCTTCTGACTGTTGTGAAAAAACAAATGGCTGAGAATATAACTTACGTACATAAAAGGAAATAAGAATAAACTGAAAGCTGTAAAAAAGAAAGATGATACAGTTTTTATAGGTTATAATTGGAGTCAAAAAAGGATTAAATCATTCCATATTTCTTTTGGGATAAGTAGGAAGTATAAGTGTAATCTTGCTTATTAAATGTTGGGAGAAAAAATACCCTGCACATCCGTCAATGAACACATAACCTTTTTTAGAATTAACAAAATGAACTTTTCATGAATTGGCTGGGCCACGTAATGACAATCAAGAAATTACAGTGGACTGCGTCAGTGAAGTCCATGCCAATTTTTTGATATCTTTTCTGGTTCAACCAACCAAATTCACAGTCCTAGGTTCCAACTGCTGACATTGGCCTACTCCAAATTTTAAAACAAAGAAATACCTGAGCTTCAACCTCTTGACGGAATCTGTCATAACGGTGGGTCAAATGTCGAGCATCCTCTAAAGGAGCTCCTGTAATTAATGCCTGTAGTGGCTCCGAAACCTACACGTATGAAACCTGTAACACTTAGAAACATGAATATGCGAAATAAACATAAAAAAGAGGGGGGGGGGGGAAGATCAAAGCTATGATCTAATAAATGTTATCATAATTTCCAGCACTATTCATGCAACACTTGGCATCAAGTGCATCCTTGACATGTTTTAAACAAGGAGAACGAACATAATGAAGAATAATCTGTTAGCATACGGTCAAAATCAAAACATTCAATTTTTTGGAAAACCAGTCCTAGTTTGCAATAAACAGCAATCGCATGATAACTGGTTATAACTTAATTTGGAAAGCCATGCATAAAATAAGTACTTATTCAACCAAACATTTTGATACAAAAGAATGCACATGTTTAGGAAGGCAGCTGGAGACTTGTTTTATAAATACTAGAAATCACGCTAGGGAAACAATAATTGATAAAGTTTGTAACTTCTAATCTATAAACGCCTAGAATCAACAATAGGCCTTAAACATTTCATTAATTGAAGTCAATGCTTAACAAGACAAAATCAGAACCAACAGTAGATGTTCCAAGTTAGTTGTCAACATCTTATCATTATTTCATCATAAATATTCAATACATTTCAGTTATCATTAACAATACCAATAATTTCCTCTCCGCAAGAGACCCCTATGAACAATCAGTATATGGCAATAAAGTTAAGAAATTACCTTCTGACCAAGGATCCCAAGCAATGTCTCCATTTCATCTTCCATTGATTTATGTGACTTACCAAAGCAAAGGGAAGCTCTTGCAAGAGGGAACCGGTATTTTGATTTTCAGCCATACTTGCAACAATCAGCCAACTTCCTAGCTAAAAAGTCGAGGTGAAACAGCACGAATCAGCTTTGTTCAGGGATCAACATGTAGTAAATGAGATAACCATGCATACCTATCTATTAGCTTTGTGCTTGTTGCAATAAATCCTTCTACGCCACGGACTATGTTTCGCGCAAATGCTGCAAGCATAGTTCAGAAGCGTAAGTTGACATGTATTTATTCACAAGTTAAACCACTTTAATAGAAGTAGGATTGGTTGAGAAGGACTGAAGAATGTACCTTAGTCGCCTTAGTAGAAATGTACAGGTCTTGAAGCTTTGAAGACATTGAAGTTCGGCTTCATCTACCGTAATGTCTTCATTACTAAAATGCCCAAGATGCCTTAGTACTGCCTACATGATGGAGAGGATTTGAACCATATTGGTGAAATACCTTAGTCCATTATGGACGAAACTACTGACATTCAGTAATGAGAAACAGAATGGTACAGATTTTAATCTTAACGTTTCTATCACATGTTACTATGAAAAAGCCTTTGACATTCTAGCTTATTAAACTTGGGAGTTTGTTAAAAAGATGACAATAAAATTCAGGATTGAACACAAAAAATTCCAACGTTGTCGTGGTGGTTATATTTCCTCAAAAGAGAAGAAATTTGGAAATAGGAATTGAATGATTCGCTTGGACTCTAGACACGACAATTAGTAAAGCGTATTATGAACGGTTTTTATTTTATTTTATCGGTCTAAAGCATAAACTTGAAACCCGTAAGCTAAAGTGTATCCGATATGATGAAAGATGAAAGGAAAAGGAAGAAACCCCTACTTGCTGTTGCTTGGCAACTTGTTCTCTGAGCTTGGTAGCCTGCTTCTTGATAGCTTCCATTTCTAACAGAAGAAATTTCCTGTTAATCAATTCCCAAAATCGACAACAACAGGAAATGAAAGAGAAAAACGTAAAAATACGAGGATTTGTGTTTGGTTTACAGACCCTTTGAGGCAACAGAAAGGAGAGAAATCAAAGACCCTTTGGACTTAGGAAGGTGGAGAAGAGGAAAGTGTCTTCCTGTACTTCCAGCAGAAAAGGCAGCAGCTTTTTGTGCTTGAGATTATTTTTTATTAAATAACAGAAATTTATTTCCTTTCTATGTATATAAATAGGTTGATATTTGGATTTATTTGACTGTTTAGTCACTTTAGCATGCCTCGTTTGTGGCGAAGAACCTAAGGAAGCATTCGAGTTTGGTTATTAATGCTAATATTATTCACTTATTATACTGTATAATATATTTTATTTATTCCATTAGGGTTTGGAGGGGTTGGAATTCGTTGAAACGTCAGTCATTATTGTGGTTAGTTCAGGAAATACAGAGAAACTCTGGTGGATTCCACTGAGGGATTGGAGTTTAAACCAGCTTTTTATTTGCAATTTATTATTCTGAATTTGGTGAAGGGAATATTAATCATTTTATTTGCATTAATTTATATAATATTACCTCCCATTTCATGTTTTCTACCCATAAATTGTTTCACAGATGTTTTGATAGCCCAAATGCCCAATGAATAATTTTTAAGGAGCAATCATCATATCCCACAGCTCAATTCTAGTAATAATAATGCTTGCTTTTTTCATATATTATAAATATTTTTTTTGTAAACTACCCAATAATAACTCGAGGATAGAACTTTTTATATAATTATAGTTATTTGGGTAAAATACATCCAAGGTCAATAATTATGTTGTTGTTGAATGATGATGAAATATATTTGAAATTGACATCCAAATATTACCTCGTAGTCTCGAACTTACAATGACCATAATTAGAGAAGTTTATTTTAAATTAAAACCTAATTGATCAATAATTAAATACGATGACTCATTTGCTTTTTAGGTATAATTAAAGAGGCCAAATAATCATAGGCGGAACATCTTTGACCCCGGCAATTATTTTTTAAGTATTAATTAATATTGAAATATATATTTTTAAAAAGAAAAAAAATTTACCCAACCCTCAATTAAAAAAAAATTTTTAACCCCACTTTAATAAATTTTTAGTTTCACCGACAGAAATAACCATGTTGCATTTTGTACCATCTTTTGTAACAGAAGTTAATGTTAGGTATAAGATTGATATCAAGTCAAGGTCATGTATGAAATGTTATATTAATCCAACAAGTATTAGGTTAAGCTATGTCGTTAGTAAATCAATATTTTACAAGTAGTAGGTTAAAGGCTATGTCATGCGTAAATCATATTTTACGTAATGAGGACTAAACTGTCTCAATGGTTTTAAGTTTTAAACTTTTTAATCCTACGAAGGTTCGAATTAATCGATTTAAATATAAAATAATTTAAACACATAAATTTAAAAAGTTTAAAATAATGTGAATAGTGGCGGACGTACATGGCATTTAGGGTAGACACGCTATTCTAAAAATTAATTTTTTTCCGATTAGTTGTGTAATTTATTAGTTCGTGTCCACTATGAAATTTTATTTATATCCATATATAAAAATAGTATTTTTCCAAACTAAGGAGTCCAAAGTGGAATCTTACCATTTATTTACTAAATTTTAGTAGTATAAGGACTGAAATAGTAATTTTATCATACCGGAGTGCCAAATCCCGTGCCACCCCTGATTTGGGATAAGAAAATGAGGGAAGAAAATTGTACCGATTTGTCACATTCTACTGAGAAATCGAAATGAGAGACGCAGAATATTCAAGATAGGTTGAGCTAATCATATAACTCGATTCGGTTCTTAACTGTAAGCAACCGGTAGTAGTGAGATGATGCGTAAAACAAGCAGATTCATTGAAGAAAATCAGAAATGGAAGTAATAAATCAAGGACAAAAGGGCAGTCTAGCAGAGCCAGCCCTGTGACTGGGAATGGTGAAATGCCTTAGTAATCCTTGTTGCTCCCTCATATCCTTCACAAAGAAAAGCCTTTGAGAACTTATCTTCCACAGCTCTGTTCACATCATGCACGAAAACATCGGTCTCCCCCTCTTCTCTGTTCTAGCCATTAACCCCGCCGTGTAGATAGCATTCATCCTCCCGGGGGCTTCATCGTGGAACCCGGTGGGCGCATCCACCATGATCAGATCCCACTTTACATCATAAATTTCACTCGAAAACCCTTTGTGAGCAAGCTCGCACTTGGAGAATCTCGGGTCACTCACGACCCTGCACGATTCCTCTTTCGTACCCGTCTCTAGCAGAGCATCGATTGGTGAACTTTCGTGGAGTATTCGATGGTATTCTAAACCGGGGAACTTTTGCTTCATCTGCTGGATCCACGCCTTGTCTTCTTCAAGGAAAACCGTGCGCCCACCGTGATTAAGCGCTGCCCCCATCAGACTGTCGTGGCCTAAGCCGAAGACCAAGAAGTTGCAGGGTGCCTTGTTTTCTAACACTCTGGCCGACACCGAGATTTCCTTGAAGGTTTGTTGTGGGTGGTGCTGGTGGTGGCGTAGTGGATGAGGGCGTTGGCCAGAGATGGTGGGTTTTGGTGCATGATGGAAGGGATGGACAGGGTGTGGAGTTGGAAACGAGGGATTCTGAAATGGAAGACGATGATGATGGTGGTCGTTGTGTTGTGTGGAAAACGTAGAAGAAGTTGTGCTGAAAACCAAGAGGAGGAAAAGAAGGAAGAAAGCACAGATGAGAATGAGCTTGGTGTTGAAAGATGGAGACTGAGGTTTGGCGTTGGACCTCATTGTTATTGCTTCAACTTCAATTTCCTATGGCTTAATTAATTTGTTCTGTTCGAGGGAAACTGAAAGGAGATAGGAGAAGGGGGATGTAACGTTACTTTGGGAGTTGACGCTGAGACAATAACTTATAGTTTAGACTTTGTTGTCCGTATAGAATCATGACCCCATCCATACAGACCAGCTCATTATTGAACTTCTTGTTGCGTTGTCACTTGTCAACGAATATCTACTCTGTAAATATTCGAGTTTGGCTCAAGGATTATAGAAATTATATGATACAAAAAAACAAATTCATTCGAGAATTCATTCTTAAAATATTCAAATTTGAGCAATTGTATTTATAGGATATGTGTATGTTATTGTAGGTTAAGAAAAATTCTGAATACATTATTTATAATCACTTTAACTATTCAAAAAGGAAAAAAAATATAATTTTAAAATTTTAAAATAATAATATCTAATATGATATTGAATTATCATTTTGTATATTATTATAGTATAACTTTTCATTGATTGATTTGATAATTACTAATCGTGTTAACTCATAATATAATAATACAAAGTAATAATTTATGTATGACACTTAATAATGATATTATCGAAATAATAATAAACAAAATGATAGTTCAAACATCATATTTATATTTTTAACAAAATATGGTGATATTAAAATATAACTATCAAATTGAACATTTTATCAATAAATGAACTATAAATATTATAAATATTTGTTAAAGTATATGTATCAATTGTGATAATTTTAATTTTAAATTAATATTCTTTATGACATATGAATTATGAATAAATTAGTTTTTAAATCCATACAGTTAAGAAAACAATGTTTATAAAATTGAGTTGTTGGTGGGTTGCCATTGTGAGTGGAATAATGAAGGTCGTTTTTTAATTATTATTTTTTTTATCAAAGTTGTGTTGCGGTTAGAAGGGTTGGTTGATGATACCATTTTTTTGGGTGAACGATGAAACCTTCTTTTTTTATATAACAAATAAATCAATTACAGCGCTGTACAAGGCATATGTGCTGGCTAACTTCCAGATACTGTAGGTAATTTTTATTCCCTCAAGTTTTTCTTTAAATAATCTGCATTATTATATAGTAATATTTTTCAAATTTTCAATTTATTAACAATATAAATATATCTTACATATACAATTGTTCTAACCTAAATTATCTATAAGTTATATTGCTTTATATTGAATTCGTATTGTCTAATTATATAGGGTGGACCTAAATTCCAATATAAAATTATGATATTCAATTCGTAAACGCAATAAACATATCGTAATTTAAATTAAGATGTAATCATCTACTATCACATTCTATCTAAAATTACAGATATTTTAAATTTGATTTGATTATTTTTTTCTCTAAAGAAAATTTGATATATTAAAAGTAAAGACATTATTATACACACCCTAACGATTTTGTTATTAGTATATTAAGTATTATTATGATTTTATAATTTTTATATAAAATTATAACAAATATCAGATTACTTAATCTAAACTCAATGAATAGAACTCATTGATAGATATATCAAATCAATAAGGTATTTACATTATATGATTAAAATTTGATATTGTATAAAAAAAGCATGAAGAAAGATAATATATTAATCATTTAATGTTAATGTATTTGATTATATATATATATATAAATAGCTTAATGTTGAAAATAAAGATTCTACAATAAAATAGATATTAAGTTTTACTAAAAATCAAAATAATCATATATATAAAGAGAACCTTACTAATAAAATAGAAAAATACAGATTATAAATAACTTAACTTTTAATAATATCGCATACTATCTATTTCCAACATAATTACTTGGTTATAAATAAACTTTTTAATGCAAAATTGTTCAAACTATATTTATACTTTTAATAAACATAAAAGTAAATGTATTTCATGTTTCAATCAAATTAAGTTTCTTACCTTCTTCAATTTTCTCTTAATTTAATATCTTCATTAATTGGAGTCAGATTGAATTCTAGTCAAATTCTAGCAATCTTCACATTCAACACGAATTCAAAGTATAAAATTTGAGATAAATCACAAATTCGATGAAACATCAAAACTCAACAAAAGTATTCATCTCACGAACAAGTTCTCTACTTCTTTCGTAAAATCTCTTAGAGTGTAATCAACAATGATTATATCGAATTCAAACCTTGCCTGAGTTTAATGTATGAGATAACATAATCTTCACATTGGTAAGATAATCATATGTGTCAGCTTTGTTCATAATTTTATGTTAATTTAGGTTGGGTTAACGATTAATATTTTTTTCAAACTTCGGTTATCGGTTAATTCA